ACGGGTTGCAAATTGTCGGAAACTGACGAAAATCAGGCAGATCTGCGGGAGTTTACGGGGACGAAAATCTCACTTTTCATGTAGTGTTAAGTACTTATTCCCCTCATCCAAGCAAATTAACTCTTAAGAGTAAAGTAGGAAGATTCTTAACTTGTTGCTGTCCCATCGTGGGGGGGAAGGTGGACTGTAGTTTGCTGTCTTTGGGATGCAGCAGTACTGTTGATGCTCAAGTGGTTTGTATCCTGGGTACACCTCAGCCACCTAGGTAACTCAGAGTCAGTAAAGTACCACACATTGACTTAGTAGAATCTTAACCTGACAATCACTTAAACCGAGCATACACTGTACAGCTTTTTGCCCTTTTTGGGCCAAATCTCCAGTCGTGAGAATGTTTTGAGCGGGACGACTTTCATCCTGATTGTGTGTCATGTACAGTAGAGTACAGGGGGTAAAGGAGGGGCGATTAGCCTCTCATGACCACCTCCCAATAAGGAATTGTAAGGTCGGGAGAAAAACAAAGATGTTTGAAATTCAGTTGGCCATCGTAGGGTGGTCGTGGGCAAATTGCTCAGTGCGCATAAGAAACAAGGATTCTTCTTCTACTTCTTCCTCTCAGATGAAAACACAGAAGCATGGTGGGGGTGCGAGTGAAATGGAGTTCTTTCTGTAAAATTGACAGACCGTAAAGCCACGTTTGCTCAGCCATGTCTTTGTCCAAATACGTCGTCAGCTTTTCTTTTTAGGGGTTTCAGCACACAAAATTGCACAAATTGCCAAGGCAGTGCATTTCATGCTAGTGAGCTTCATATTTAACTGGAGACAGTGACACTTCTGTCTTTTTCCTCTTCTACTCTTTTGGCTTCTGGATAGACAACTCCAATAGCGCCATCTCACTGTGGAGCTGAGTCCAACGTGGTTTTTAGACGTAAAGTGTGAGCAGGTAGATCGCATCAGATTGTCGGGAGAACATACATCCTGAACAGTGAATTTTTAAACGTCTTACAGTGTGAGCTGTAGCCATTGAAAAAAATCTTACAGCATATGCCCAGCTTTACAGAGCTTATGGGAGCAGCTTTCAGGGTGCACTTAACTCAACAGGGGTCCTGCTCACTCAAAACAGGTGACAGGCACAATAGCTTGGCCGAGGACAGAACAGGAGAGAACATTGTGTTGTTTAGTTGAACGACACAAGGTTCATCTACTCTAACAGAACGTGCGGTATTAGCACGGGCGATGCTGGGCTTAAGCACAACGCTTTTTTGAAAAGAAAGTCTTTAGCTCTGGAGTATTCCACCACATGGGTGCGATGGTCAGTTGGAATGGTGGTGTCCCTTAAACCAGACAAAAAACTATTTAAGAGAAAGAGTTTCCATTCGCAGTCAATTTTAGAGGAACTGTGTCTAAGATGTGATGTCAGAGGGATGGCTGCGTTAAAAAGTGTAATCCGATCGTTTACATCAGCCTTCTCCATGAAAGTTCAGGATCATTATTCTTGTTTGTCTATTTTTTTTTTTTTTTTTGCTTTATGCCCTGATATAGTGTTACTACTGATATAGTGTTACTACTAGTGCATAGGATAGTTTTGGGATACAGTCAATGGCTTGATCATATTGGTCATTTATCTGCCTTCATTGTACAAACACTAAGACTAATGTTTTAAAACCCGTGTTGCCTTTATTAGAGTTAGAGTGTGTCCAGCATTCAAGACAGTAGTTGCTATAAAGGCATAATCAAGTGTACTGCAGACAAAGTAAAGTGCAAGTACTTCCCCATTGCTCAATCAAAAATAGCCTTTCAATAGAAGTTGCTTTATAAACAGGTAGTAAAGTAAAACTAAAATGTTCAGGAGACACATATTTTACTTGCAAATTCAGCCATTGCTCCTTGCCAACACGGCACGACACCAGAATTGGTTTCACAACTAACAGGTCCTGGAAAATGGTGCTTGATATGTTTTAATACAAAATGTTAAATACTCATCGTCGTGACTGTGAAAACAACACTCATTTGCCCTGTATGTGTGAGTAAGTTTTCTCTTTTGAGTAAGCTAACAGTAAAAAACAGTTGAAAACAGAACATGAGAATAAAGATCAGATGTAGGTAGTGAAGAATCAATTAGGCAAAAGGCATAAGATGTTATTTATCCTTAAGATGGTCTCTCTGAAGAGCATTGAGATGACATGGTTTCATCTTAATCCCGTCGTGCATTGGTGGTATAAGAATAAAATGAATTTAATCAAATTGAAGATTCTTTTGGACGGTGCTACATGAGGCATATAATAAAAACGTTTTGAAAGTGTAATTAAGTGTTTACCACAAAGAAGATTAGTGTAGAAGAGAAACAATTTCAAAATGCAGATGACAAGAAAGCTCATAACGTCAGCAACAATTACACTTAAAAACTAGACGTATAAAAAAAAAATACTTAGTTAAATATGGTACATTTTGAAAGAAGTTGTTTTTTTTTTTCCTACCCCTTTCCGGTGACAGAGAGACCAAAAACAATCCTGCTGCATTCCATTTTGTTTATGCAATGTCGTACATTGTGAAGACATGGATTTATCAATTTAACAAGATTTTAGCCTGTTAGCCAAATTGAAACTACCTGTGGAGGCATTTGGTGTCCAAATAGTGGACATACGTTGAGCATAATATTTACCATAAACCTGAAAGAAACTTAATTAAAGACTTAAGTTTACAAACATCGTCATAAGTGGTCATGATATTGAACATCCGATAATTAAAATCATAACTTTGCTTTGTGACAAGATAAAGAATCCCTTTTTGTTTGATATTCCAAAAATGGAGCTAGTACTAGTGACTAGTTGAATTAAATATTACAGGCAGTCCACCTGTTTGAAACTTCATCTGTACTTGTTTGTATTATATCACAGATAGCTTTAGAGAGGATAAGTTAAACATGGGCTAAATGTTTATCATGTGGAGCTACACCTAATGATGTCTAAATATCTGTCTGAGCCACAGCTGCTGGTTAACTCTGCTAGCATAGTTTGGCGTGTTAGGAATATTATCATTAATGAATAGTGAGTCTTTTGATCC